AGGAGCTCTCACCTGGTTGATCCCGTCGTGATCTTCTTCAAAATTAGCCGCCACTATGACAGGAGAAGCCAACCCTATCGCGTCTGCCATGGCAGCACACGCTCAGGGGCGGCAAACGAAAAAAAAAGAAAATAATAGAAAAAAACAAGTAGCAAAAAAAAAAATAAAACTAAATAGAACGTATGAATATATGATTTGCTACAAATAAGGCCCACAAAAAACAATTATCGGATGTCAAGTCTCTTCAAATTATCAGGGAAAACGAACGATTGGCGTCGAGTACCCCAACAACCGAACAGCTATAGACACACGTCCGTCCGACAGCAGAACCCGTAACGGAATCAGACTAGTGATGTCACTAATGTGAGTCTGGGGCTGGCGCAAATCGAGCAAAATTTTTCTTGGAATCCCCTGAATGGAATTTGTTGAGTACCTATAAAACGAACAAATGAATTGGTATGATTCCCAAAGTGATGCAACGAAAAGTTTCAATCATAAGTAATCTTTTTGACTTGTCTCCTGAAAAGAGAAATGGTTTTTTGATCACAGATCTATCCAAAACTGCTGTTGAAGCTAATTATCGGTAGCTGTTGATCATTCACAAATTTGAAATTTGGGAGGTGCAAGGCACTTGCACTTCTAGTCGAAACATATACTTCTGCAGTTCTGCTACCGTAGATCTGCATAGTGCATAGCTTTATCTACCATATCATTTTTCACTTCTATTATCAGTCCTAAGCGCGTCCAAGAAGCGTCAAATAACGATGCTAACAGTCTGTTCCACCTGTCGAAAGACGGAAAGTGGTCAATATTTCTTCTACCGGCTCTACGTTCATGTGAAAATTACAGAATCGAACTTCAAAGGCACCCGTCGGCAGAAAGACGGGTTGTAGGATCAATGGTTCGACCATGATAGGACCGGTCGCCGAAATCTGCGACGCATATAGTAGTATTAAGTAAAAAAAACGTGTCAACAACAGCTACTGTGTGGGTAATGACCGGCGCTGACAATGCTCAATAATTACTACTAAGTTACTAACCTAATGAGTCCTATCCGGCCGCGAGTCCGGCCGTAAAATTGTCCGGCACGTCACTTTACGCTTGTCAGTAGAGAGTGTACGGTAGCGTGAGCCGTTGCGAAACCGGTCGGCGGTCGCAACTAATGAAAATTAAATCAGAAATTCAGAATGGTATTCAATTTTGCTTGAACAACATTAAGGCTACGTATAGATTTATTAGTAAAATTAAGAGCTTTGAAATTGCGAATAAACTAAAACAAATTCGAAATTATAAAACAATTATAAATAGAAGTGGCAACCTCGGTGCTGTTCTCGTACCGGTAACTGTATTCGTAGTGAGGGAAATCATCTTCGTTAACTCGGGAGCAACAAAGACATGAATTAAAACTATATAGTTTTTGGTATAGGAATTATATCTGATTCACCAAGTTATTGCCGGAATTTACAGTGATATTAGTTTTAGAAATCTTCCATAAAGGTCAAATCTGGAAATCTGTCGTCGCAACCTTGTTCAGAGTGCGTTTGCTTGTTGTCACAACTTCGTTCAATTGTGTTTACGTCTATTCGTTGCCAAACATCGGATCAAGCCGTCAACTGACTCAAAGTGAGTCACTCAACTCAGAGCGAGTGCTTCGGTAGACTTCATGCAGTCTTGAGTTAGGTTCTCTGCTAAGCGTATTTACCAGCTATAAAGTTGTTATATCAGTAATATGTGTATATTAATCATGAACCCAAATATATAAATAAGCTATTTGAGGATTTCGTGGAATTTATTCGCAAACTCGCAAGCGCCCGAGTGAAGCGGACTCGCTCAAACCAAACGCAAGTATTCAGCATCCCAAACTCGAATTACTCGATCTCCTATTGGCTATTTCTGTAACTACTGTTGACTTACTTACGTAAAATTTCCCTGTTTATTTATAAAACATTGATAATCAGTCGAAGATTAGGATTAAGGCTCCTGGCGCTGGCTGGGAACTTGAGCGATATTTGAACCGCTTTTCCGTGTCAAACGATACGTCGATCATCTGGAGATGAGATGATCATGGCTGAAAGAAATGAACTTTTTCACCAAATGACATTACCATTGTCATTGTTATCGTGTGAGTCTCAGCGCACCGCGAGTTGCAATTTATCCCCTCTTATAACAGGAGGGGCCACGACAACGAGAATGAATAAATATTTGTGGAAGCGCTAATTCTTGTCTAAATTTAAGGTTTGAAAGCTTTAAGGTTTTAAATTTTATTAAGAACAATATCAAATGAACAAATTCTTCACATATTTACAAAATTACTGAAAATAAAGATTTGCGGTAGGCAAAATAAAATCCAAAAATCACTAATAAAGGGAAGAGCACAGGCCGAGTTAATGTGAACTTAGCATTACCAAGCCAGCTGTAAATATAGATGAAATTAATAAAATAATAAATGATGTTTAACTTGAGAAGCTGTGATTGAAATGATTAATTAGTAATCACGCATTGCAGGGTAAAGTAAAGGCAAGGGGCTTATCAGTTAACCTTAACAAAGCAATCAAGGGATATAGTCATAATTGAATGGAATCTTTACACTTTCAGTAAAGTTTATTATTTAGCATCCAAGTCATTAAAACGCAGGCGTATTACTGTAATTTTAAGTTCATCTCAATTTCAATTGTCACTTGTCTGGTCACTGAGGTCAGACATTTTCATTAGATATGTTAGGCGTATTCTAAGATTAAAATTTGCATTTCAAAAAATTGCTATTGTTAAAAAAATAAAAAAAATATAAAATTAAAAAATTGCTATTGTAAGATCATGCATTGACCTATATTCTCTGGATTGTTTTTGCCTGCTACCATTTCCAGATATGAGGCAGTGATCAAATATTAATGGCGAACTGATGGCCTTCGATGTCAGAGCTGTTACATATAAAATAATTTCAAGGTCGGTCGTATGTTCGGAGCCTCTATCATAAGTGGTGACTCGTGAATTCGTTAATCTTCACTTATACATAATTATAGAAACGTTCGGTGATGAAATTCTCTGTTGTTCAGAACCCATTTAATTGTTCAGAAGTAAAAAAATTGTAATATAAAAAATATCTCGTAAAGTTCGTAAACGCAACATAGGAATTATGAAGATGTTTTTGAGACAACACACCGCGTCCATTTCAAGCCTCAATTCTCTTAGGTCGCTCGTCGCTGTTGCGTAAACAACTCGTTAGGGTGAGCTCAAAAAAATTGTTCTGATTCAGATTATTTATTCCCAAATTGTGTTAACAACTGATATTTTTTATTCTTAATATTGCATGTAGCACTCATTCAACGTGTGTATTGCGTCCAGGTGTTGGCGGCATCATTATACAACAAAACTGTATTTGATAACCTTTGTTATTCTGGAACGTCTATAGTTTCACGTTATACTTTCCCAAGGTATTTTACAACTTCCCACATCACCACGCTGACCATAGGTTATTATATTCAGTTCGATTAGTTTCAAGTTGGGCTGCTGTCCGAACTCGGAATGCGACAAACGTTTAACATGTTCTCATTGTTCTGCGCTTAATTAGCACCTTAGTATACGCACAAGTAGTGTTTCAAGTAGACCGACAATCCGACATTGATCACAAAAAATAAATCTCATAAGATGATTCTCTGTTAGCTAATCAAAACCAAACTTTTCTTATTGCATTTAGTCGTAAAAATTTACCTTGGGCGTGCGTCCGTCATTACTCGAGCAACAGCAAGGATTGAGCCTTACCCACATAGCAATGATAGCATAGTTGGCTAAACATGAATATGCTACGAGTACTGCATGTATGTAGGTACTTGTAACCCGTTATGTTCTACAGTTATCCTGTCACTCAGCCTCAGCAAGTCGACTAAATATTTCCGAGTGACGTAGCCGTTCCAAACGAACTTATGCAATTTTTACTCGCAATTGAAATCTTGAGCACAAATGGTTCGATACAGTTGAAATAATAGTTCCAAGTATAAAGATTAAAGATATGATAGCAAAATTGCAAGTACAATGCTGACGGCTCAACGAAAAATTTCCGTGCGTTTGATGCATCAAGATCGTAGCCTGAGAACCGAAAGCTATACTCCCTGACTTTGGGAGCTAACCACCACGTGCATGACCACAGACCACGAGTGTTTTCCTCGCTTGATATCCACTTTAATAGCTGTATTTTTAGGTATCAAATACCCGTATTTAGCAAATTATAATTTGTTGATACATTTTCTAGTTCCAAAATAAATTTTTCTAAATTCGATTTAAATGCTAGATTCCTAATTTTAATATATTGACTGTGTATACATTTGCTTATTTCAGAGTTTTGGAGCAGACAGAATGGCGACGCAGACAAAGTCAAGGGACGAAGTCGTTGAGCTGGAGATTGAAAGTATCGGCTCAAAGTATAAATTCTCGAAAAAATTGCGCGGCAACTGGATGATGTTTTTCAGCAAGGAATATATGAACGACATGTGGGCAAAAGCCAAAGATCTTTACCGCGCTGGACAGCTACACGGCATCATTTCCTTGAAGATGTCAACGACCACTCGCGTTAGGAACACTGCTGATGCTCAGCTAACATACGGCGCAATACACTACTGTTGCGGACCTCACACAAATCGCGTACTTGTTCTTGAATACGGGAAGGATTTGGTTAAGAAAATGCAGTATTTTTGTAACACTTCCGGATTCATAGGGTACAATGCTGAAGATCAGTCGAAAATTAAGAAGAAGACTCCTCGAGCAAGAGAACAATATTTGTACCGTTTACCTGTGCCGACGTACGATCATCTGGAACAGAGGTGAGCAGAATACAGGGATTTTTGGACTTTTAAATTCAAAGAGTTTCTTTATGTTCGGTAAAGTGTATTAGTTGGTCTCCAAGTGATTACAATGCTATAACGTATTGCTATAATTTTAAATTTCGGCCAATGTCAATTGTTAGATCAGACATTTCCAATTGACCATTTCAGGCGTCTTCTGAAACTTTCTTGTCAAAGAACTGCTGAAATTACTGATATAAGGTCAGGCAGGTATTGTTTGCATTTTATTGACTATTTGTGCATGCTAACATTTGCAGATATGAGGCATTTATCAAATTTTGACGGTGAACTTCCGCCTACAATATCAAAGCTGAAAGCTAAATAATTTCCAGGTCGGTCGTGTGTTCGGAGCCCCCAATAGAGGTGCCATCACAGGTGCTGACCCGTGAATGGGTAACTGAAGTTGTAGGAGATTTCATTAAGGAACCTGCGGATTTCGACCAATATTGCACATGGATGATGTATTTCCCCAGAGGAACCCCTCACGACTCAGCATGGGTCTCGGCATGTCGCCTCTACCGCGCAGGTGAACTGTTCGACGTCGCCTACATATCAACGTCTACAGCCAAACCCTTGCCGGACAAGAAGAATGACGCAGATGGAGTCGTAAGATTCTACTGCCGGGACAACATACCAACGTCCCAACTGGAGCAATGTGGGAAAAATCTCATAAATAAGCTGAATTACTCAGCCAAATTTGGATCCCTTTGTTGTTATTCTTACCAGGCGTTCTTGAATAGGCGCGTTCGCGTTGTACTTTGCCGGGTGCTCAGATCTAGTGTCTCATTCAAATAAAGTGCGTCACTATAATGGGTTATTTTTGTACTTCTTTTGTACTCTCATACTTATCGAAGCACGTCACTGCATGGAATGAGTTATTTGTTCTGCACTTTAATTGTACACTCATACTTATCGAAGCACGTCACTGGAATGAGTTATTTGTTTTGCACTTTATTTGCACTCTCATACTTATCGAAGCACGTCACTGGAATGAGTTATGTACTCTCATACTTATCGAAGCACGTCACTGGAATGAGTTATTTGTTCTGCACTTTACTTGTACTCTCATACTTATCGAAGCACGTCACTGGAATGAGTTATTTGTTCTGCACTTTATTTGTACTCTCATACTTATCGAAGCACGTCACTGGAATGAGTTATTCGTTCTGCGATTTATTTGTAAGTTCACACCTATCAAGTTTTGTTGAAGAATTCTGGTCTTCAACAAAACCTGCATTGAAGAACGGCTATTTCAAACCATACCAATATTCATACCGAAAAAGGATTTCACTGAAATGACTTAGGTTTAGTGCACTTTCATTGTACTGTTTGTATACACTCGCACTAGAACACCGTTACTGGAATGTTCCAAGCGATCACCATTAATAACAAAACAATAACCTGCATTAGAGAAATTTATCTTTCAAAAACAGAAAATATTTTTTATTTGGATTATCGTCAAAATAAATTCATTTTGTGTAACATGGTTGGCTCGATTTCTGCGTTTAGGCAAAACTTTCATTACGTTGGAGTGGATTTCCGTTGAAATGCACCATGTAATAATGTTGACTTTATAAATGTAAAATATTGTATGAAATGTATGTTGTTATATATATCTTTGAATTTAACAGTTTTTTATGCTCACGAATTATTAAACGATTCGTTCAAGTCAAATAAAATCTAAATATTTTAAAATTGATATTCGGTGATCATAGCCCTACAACCATTGACTCGTAGAGTGGTTAAAGGATGCGAGATAAAATGCCTGTTTTTACCTAGTAAAAATTATATATTTTTCGGATAACTTTAAACATGTAAAATTGTTTAATAAGTCACAAGAAAATAATTCAGTAATATGTTCACAACATGAAGGTTATAAAATAAAGTGCGGCATATACAGCTGCTAATAATCATATTCTTTGTTATCGATGAAACCAAGTCGCTATAAACTACAGAGTATTGGTTGCTCAGTTCCTAAATTTGATAACCTGTATTACAAATTTTTACCAGGAAATGTTTACGATAGTTCTTTGTTTTCTGTTAAAAATTCAATTGTAAAAAATCATATTGAGGTTTGCTAAGGTGGAGGGTTTTCAGCCGTCTTTCATGTTCTCAAATTTTGTATTGCATCGAAAGAAAGGCAGGTAAAAATTTCAATTTGTATTATTGCGAAATAAGGAAATCTGGTTTGCGTAATTTCAACCGTGGTCGATGAGTGGAACTCCAGGTATCCAGATTATGAGAAAAACTCTGGAATCAGATTTTAGCTCCAGCTTTTATGAGTTGAAAACAGTAACCGTACTGGCAATGAATTTTTTTCAGTTTTATGTCAATATTGATTAAAATTTTTTTCCTCCAAACTTACTCCTCTCATTGACATGTTACCTAATGGTACTTTCTATTTGAATTTAATCGTTTCGAAATTCGGTAATTGATCAAGAAGTATTTAAAAATTAATACTATCTATACAGAATAACTTATTCCGTTTGACAATTAAATACGTGAACGCATTGACGTTTCGATCAGAGTACAAGCCAAGTGCTGGTATTTTTCGTTGGGATCGAAGCACAATTGTTGAATTGTTTGTTGAAAAACATTATTTAGAAAAAGATTCTTTCCTGCATAATTACGAGCGCTTGGAATCGATTTTTTACTGAATAATTTTTTTGTCTGAATAATTTTTCGAAAATTTTCTAATTGCAGGCAGTTATGAACTCCTTTAAACTTCATCGGCTTATCTCAGTGGTTCCCAAAGTGGGCGATATCGCCCCCCTAGGGGGGGGATAGAAGGATATTTTGGGGCCTCTGGAAAGATCTGTGTTTGACCATTCTCTTTCAAAATTGCAGCATACTAAATATCAAGAAAGAGGCGTTTGTTTTTATATGTGTCTGTCACCGGGGGGCGCTAGAGATTCACTGGGGAGCCCAGGGGGGCGCCAGCCTGAAAAAGTTTGGGAACCACTGGCTTATATGGACTGGAGTCGTCCTGTAGCAACTGCCACTTCTGAGAGCTTTTTCAAGCCAATGAATTTAATAGCGATTAACGTCGGAAATTAAAAAAAAAGCAAATTGTGAGCTAAGAATCCACTGTGAAAAATTAATTCTTAAATTATATGCAGCATTTCAAACTGTGGGAAAACGATATGTGATGATTGAGCAATGTTCCAATTTTGTCAAGTATGGCATTTTACCTTGCTTGACCTTAGTCAATCATTATCGTACGAGTTGAAGTTGGGCACTAGTGCACTGCATCACTTAGTGTACTGGTGCCGCACTGCATCACTTAGTGTACTGGTGCAGCACTGCATCACTTAGTGTACTGGTGCTGTAGCGGGATAACTACGCTCCATACACAAAGTTACTGGGTCTCTGCAAGCGGGCCCTAACGTACGAGGATGAAAGACAACTGGTTCAGCAAATTTACAAAGGCCATCAGATTTACTTAAATTTCATGGAAAACCCGCTTCCACGACATAGGACCATAATTAAATGCATTTAGGTTTAATAGTACAGACAATATATAGACATTAATTACAGATATTTCCAGTCATTACAAACTGCGGTAGGTCAGGCAAAGGTAGGCCGGCTACTATAGCAATCCGCTGCTTCCCGCGAAAACTACCTAAGCATACTTTTTCTCGTCTGTCTTGGTTAGAGAGGTGCGGCGGCTGAAGAAACTAATAGCGCGGCCAAGGCTAGCCCGCTACAGTGCAGCACTGCATCACTTATAGTGTACTGGTGCAGCACTGCGTCACTTAGTGTACTGGTGCAGCACTGCATCACTTGAACTTGAGAATATTTCTGAACTTCATCATGAGAATATTTCTGAGAAAACAGCGGAGCAGGATTGGAAACCTGTACATCTATCGACAATTGCCAAGACGCCTCTGTCTGCATGACCTGCTTCTCGGTGACGAAATCAACTAGCAGACGCTTTTAAAAAAATGTTAAGTATAACCCAGAAGTAATGATGTTTTTAAATGAGTTATTGCATGTTTTTTGCTATAATGAATCATCTTTATCGTTAAAACTTTTCATTCACTTGTCATGCTAATAGCGGATGGAGATAATAAAAGCTTGAACCTTAACAATCTTATCTAAATAAGATGATAGCTTTGCCTGATGAGCCTTGAAGTCAAGAGATGTTACTGATGTGATTGATATCTGATTGAGTGCAATAATTATGATAAGCATCTTTGACCTACTCTGAATACGTTAAAGATCAGTAGCACGAGTAATTGGCTCCACTCCGGTGTTCACAAATCTTAATCATCAGTAAAATATCGAGGGTGAATGTTGACAAATTAGTGAATCAAAACTAAATCTATTCAGCATTTTACAAATTCTAGTTTATATGTTACGAAACGAAAAAAATAATTCATCTCAAAGTATGCAGATTTATATGCTCGTGAGTTTTTTTATAATACGTTAAAATAATATTTATAATTGATTTATTTGTTAAGTGACTTATCAATTTCGTAAGTTTGGCGAGCTTTAACAAGGGCTAAGCGAAATGTTATTTATTTTTCCATCTACGCACGGTATGTACGTGATCTTGAAGTTAAATCTGTTAATTTACTAAAAACCACTCCCGACTAACAGTATTTGATGATTGCCAGGTGCTGAAAACCATTCCCGACTAACAGTATTTGATGATTGCCAGGTATGCGTATTGCTTTTGGTAATGGCAACAAGTGGGTCAACAACCCCGTCCGAAGCGCCTGACCCGCACACTTCCTCGTCCACGAGTCTTCATGAAGTCCAGAATCAGCTTGAACGACTGAGAGCCGAGCTTTACCTCGAGAAAAGGTTTCGCGTTGAGGTACAAAGCCTCGCTGCCGTCAACGCTGAAAGTCTACGGAGGCTTCAAATAACATCTCAAGTCACAGCGCGCGAGACTCGAGACAGCGTGGCGCAACTGCGGCGCGAGCAGAGAGCGCTCCAGAGTCTCATTATGGAGCGAACTAATACCACTGATGTAAAGACAAGGATTGACAAACTCGAACAAGGTTTCAGCGAGCTGAGCAGAAGTGTTCGACTCATGGAAGTGTCCCCGGCACTTTTGCTGTTTCAAGAAAGAAGTGGCGTATCAGATCAAGTCACTTTCAACCTCACTCAAGCAATCAACTCGCTAGCTCAGAGTAAGTAAGTCATTTAAGCACTTGAAGAAATTTTAAAGCCTGATGGAAATTGGTATTGGTTCCTTTATTGCAAATTAAGAACTAAAATAATGCACCATCGAATCCTCAGACTACGTGCATTTAATCTAAATTTTACAGTTTAATACTCGTATTTACGGTTTTAAATCATCCAATTACCAGTTATAATTTCTTACTATCTATTTTTGCTAAATAACATAAGACTAATTTCTAGTTACTCGATTACGTTGTTCACTTCCAGGAGTTACAGCAAATGAAGAATATCAATTGCTGCTACAAAGCTCTTTCGAAGAAGCAGAAAGCTCCTTCAATCACAAATTGAAACACAGATTCCGTACGTTGAAAAATGATCTGGACAGCCGTATTCGAGACTACAACGCCGCCCTAACGACTTTCGCCTCCGACATCCGACTCTTGCGTCAAGAAATTGAACAGAATGTCATCAATATCCAGACAAATGTGGCTGTAGAAAGTCGTAAAGTGTCGGATTCACTCCATATCTTAGAGAGCCGAGCGAACCAAACAAAGGACGAATTTCAAGAAAGCCTTTACTACGTAGCAAAGGCTCAACAAGAGCAATCGGGTAAGTTTTTGATAATTTGTGCGCAAAATTAGTGTAATGGTGCGGGAACAAATTAATTTGAAACGTGAAGGCTTGGTTTCAATTTCCTTTTCCAGACAATAATGATATGATACGATAATTTTTTTTGCGAAGTGTAATTTCATTTTTTTTTCTTTTTTCAGCCTACCGACAAGAACTTGTATTACAAATCTTGGACATCAAAGCACAAACTGATGAACTTGCAACTTCACTTGTTCAAATGGATGCTCAGCTTGGCAACGTATCTTCAATAGTCTTGCAACTGATGAAAGATCATAAGGAAAATCATGACGAAATAAAACCCGAAGGTTTGATGCAATAAGTATTCCAGTCAGTTTCAATGGAGCTGGGCATGATATAGGATACCTACAAAATTTATCTATGAATGATTCATTTAAGTTCGCATATGAGAGACGTTAATGTACAAAAGCACGTTCTTTACATGATTCAATGCCGTGAGAACGTTAATTGACTCTCCTTTCACATATTTTGGCCCCAGCTTTTCCGTTCTTACTTTAACTGTTTTCACTCGACTTTCCAGTGTCGTGCCCAAGTCCCTACCTGAAGTCAGAGTCGTCTTGCTTTAGCGTACTGGAGGAACCCTTGTCCTGGTCGGCAGCGCGACGAAGATGTCAACTTCTTGCGCGGAGCCTCGGAGGTGAAGGCGACCTCGCCGTAGCCAAGCACGACACTCACCCCGTCAGGAGCTTCGTCAGGAACAATGTGCGCGATTTACCAGGTAGGAAAACCTGATAATTCCTTTGAAGGATATTTTACGGAGTGGAGATAGCATAGTGCAAGTCGCGACACTATGAAACAAGATCATCCAAGTTACTCCAGAATGTTCAAACCAGCTAACAATGCACTCTTCACCAGCAGAGGCATATTATGAGTACATTTCCACGTGTCACTTATAAAATTTTAATGCTCGTCGTATATTTTTATTATACTGAATGCGACATGAAACGATCAAAGGCCGTGAGTCATATATAAGAATCTTTTTGATTTATTAATGGAAATTCATATTTGGAAAAAATTATTCATAGAGCAAATTTACAAGTAACCTCCTGCTCAATCATGTAAGAATTGGTAATTGAATAATTACGAGATTGGAGATATTCATGCTGATGTTGAGTATCTATCTTTATTGAACGGTATACGGGAGTCAGGTTGCTAGGCCCGAGGAAGAGGCGTGTGACGCTTCACCAGGATTCTCATTTAGAACACTTGGCTGCTTCACGCCAACAGTTCTATTCGTTTAAGCTAAAGCAAAAATCTACACACAGCCGCCTAATTTATTATGTAGGTATAAAGATAAACACGTAATTATCCTCAAGATCCCTTTCACTTAAGCATGTTCGTCACTGCCTTTCTGTACAGGATAACCGCGAGGTCGAAAAATAAAGCAAGTCCTTCGTTTATTTAGCTAGTGAAGGAGCACTCTCTGTCGATGTTTCCGGTGTAGACATCAGATAGCATTGGCAAAACTAACTCGAAAACATTGCCTAATGCACTGCGCTAATTGATGTCAAGAGGGAAGCAATGCGTGCTATCCCCAACTCCATCAAATACTGAAGGTGAAGGTTACATACGATCAACGTCTCTTGGTTCTCAATCAATTCAAGAGTCGTCTGTTTTCTTAGGTCTCGAGCACGGCTTGCGCATAGTCGTAAAATTAAAAGGTGCCGCCAGGAATTCGAGAACGTTTGATATGGTATCCTTTGATAAGCTCAGTTGCGTATATACTAGGCTGCCTGAGTCACTGCTTTGGCATTCCACGAGCTGATCCTAATTTTGTTGGTTCGAAAAAAAGTGCGCAAAGCTTGACGTTGTTGCAGATACGACATGATGATAAACATAAAGTGTGTATCAAGTGCTCGTTTAACAATAAAATTATTATTTCATAGTGACAAATATCCATTAAACGCCGTGCAATGCAATTATCAGTTAATGTTGTAAACCCATTTTCAGTTGACAGAATCAAACTCTACTGCTGGATGTGAATTGAATAAAGTCAATCTGTCTTTTCTCATCAGTATTATCATTGTAGGTTTTCAAATAAAATAATTTGTGGATGGATATTAAACTTGACTTTTTCAGCAACAAAAACTTTAATCCCGTTTTGTGGTGTAAAAAATTATTTAGTAATTAATTCAAATTTTACATTTACTAGCCACGAACTGATGAAATACATGTCGCATGAGCTAACAGCTTCACGCCAGGCTACAAACGATATCAATGTACGCAGGGGAACCGTACGTGTGGGTGGGTGCCTCCTCCCCCAGTGGCGCATCCAACTGGTCGTGGGTGGATGAGACTCCCATGAACCTGGACTTGTTCCCCTGGGGGCGTGGGGAACCGGACCCAAGTTCGGACCAGCCTTTCCTCTGTGTCAGGATATCCGGAGCGGCTCTCTTCCATAACTGCCTCCGCAGCTCCGAGCTTTATAGCGTATGCCAGCTGCTTACGGTACCCATCATTGATGAAAACGTTACCCTTAGAGTACTGAGTGAAAACAATCCCGAGGACGGCCATGAATTGCCCGGGATGGATAATGGAGAGCAGCCGTTCCACCGAAAGCAAACCCTCGTCCGTGAAGAGCACCAGGGCAACCAAGTATTGGCTGCTGATGACTATTTCGATTACGAGTGACTCAATTGATAATAGTTTAATGTTTTAATTATTTCTTTGGTCCGAAATTTTTTTGGTTATATGAGAATGATATTTTGACATCTATTGCTATGGTTTCAAATAGTTAGAATTAGCCTTAATCCGGTTACCATGTATTCATATCAGTCCTAACGCATAGGATATTTAACAACAAACTATAAAACCATTGCGAATTATCCAACATTTTCAACTCGTTATATACCATAACTGCTGTTGTTTTATTTTCAGATTAGTTTCAAGTTTCTACTTATCCGAAGGCGTTCTAAAAAGTTCTTGCTTTATTCCCAAATTTAAATGTGTTTAGTAAATTTTTTCTTTTGCACCCTTCTAAATCTCTGTGAAGTGCTTTAATTTTTACGGAATAAAAATTTTCCATTCAAAATCTTCAACATTAATAACATTTTTTAGAAATTCGCATCACAAGGACTTTACAACTAATGAATATTCCTAGTATGCGCTGCAGAGATTGCAAATGTAGTATCTATTCCTGGCAAAGATTTAGCCTGTGCCTAAAGTAATAAAAATCAGTTACACAACTGATAATACACATAACCCACATAACAGGAAAATCAAATAACCCATTTTAAAAACGCGATGCTAAGCGAACTATTTCTCTGTAGAACATTCATTTGAATGAGGAATTTCCTGAACAAAAATACGAATGCGAGTTTATTGAACGGCATCTTTATACCCGCAAGCTTACATGAATTGACGGTCTAACTTTTATGCTTGAAGACTTAGATGTTAACTGCGACCAGAATCTATAAGAGAATGAATTGCAAGAACTAATTAATACCCTGCTGTTGTGAGCTATAATAATGAGAGACAGTTAAGCACTAACAGCGACCAAAATAGACTTTTGTGAAGATTAAGTGCCGTGAGCGCTGAACGCTGCGGATGCGAACGGCCTGCTAATTAGAGCTAACAAAACATTATAAAAGAAGCTTCAGCTGCACTTCATATCAAGATGCACCACCAGCAATATCGTTAGATCAACTAATAAGTAGTAAATGTGCTTCACACTAACTGGGCATGAACTTGGTAAGAATCGTTAGGAGTATTTTGAATTGAATATAATTTCTTGGTATTGTAAGTTGAAGCTAGCAGGTAACATGTTGTCTGTGGTCGAAAAAGTTTCGGAATGGCAACGTTGATGGTTTTCCAAAAACTTGTAAAATGAAGTGAGCAGTTTTAATAAAAAAAATATAACTATATACTTATACACTTTGTTTTGTCACTAAATATTAAAGGACCAAGAGTCAGAAAATTCTTAAGCAATGACGCGTCTGCTTCAGACCAGATTTGGGTCGAGCGTACGACAAGAACTAACGTCTTTTGCATGCGTAATGACTTGATTGTGGGCAGCTATTTTGGGCCTAGAATCTTACTGCCTCGCTAGCATTATTTTGTGATACACTTTAAAGAAGACCGTATGTCAAACAAAAGCTGTTATTTTATCTCTATTCGAGAAACACATGCTTTTAAAACGAAATCTTACGTAAAGGATAAACTTGAAATAACTATTATCACAAATTGAGTTCAAAAGAGGTAACTGACAAATAAAGTCATGAAAAAAATAAATATTAAATTCTTTGATCCGATTAATAACTACCCTAAGGAGATCAATTATGTTCATTAGCTGATCGATGCACGCTGAATATTTCATTTTGAACAACATGATATTAGTTCACTTTTTATTACGAGGTCAATAAAAGAAAACAGCGAGGAAATGGGCTCTAGCCCATTAACTGAAAAACGAAGCCTTCATTCAAAATGAGGTGACGAGCGTTTCTGATAATGTGGCCGTTAATAGTTTGAATGTTTGAACTTATTCACTCCAATTCTCATTTCCTATTAAATTCTTCTTATTATTAAATTTACCTCTTACTGTAGTTAAAAGGGCATTCTCTTGTGATCCCATAAAATGTCAGAGAGTAATTCATTTTTAGTTCTAATAGAGCTTAATAATGCCGGCTATTATAAAGTAATTCTAATAATCTTCTTAAAGATTGGGTGCCAGATTTCCAGCGATAGTAGACCAGACATATCATTTCAACAATAATCTTGCAAGTAATTCATCAAAAATCCAAACCAAGGAAAATGCACTTGACCGAAATTTCGCTGTAACCGCCAATACTGCCGTGTAGCGTGGCAGCAAGAACGTGATTGATTTACAATTTATTTCAAGATAATAACAAAACGAATTTATGTTAAAGAATACTCTGTTATTATAGCCTTATTTGTGTTATATTATGTACAATTAGATTCATCCGAAAGCCTTAAAAACACTAGTTTTATAGGAAAAAACACCATTTTCTATTAAAAAGTAGAATGACTACTTGTGAGTCATTTCATGAAATGCTCCAAATCTTTACCATGTCACATACGGGTAGCAGCTCGAAGCTGTGACTGTGAGGCCCATAACACGACATACATAAGGGCGACAGGAGTATCATCGTCTATCTTCTCTACAAAATTTACTGCTGTTGCTTCATGAAAATGCAGGTCAACGTCCCACCCAGAAGCAACGAGCTCAATGTCCCAAACTCCTGCGGTACCCTACATAGATTAAGGCTATTAATCTCGATCGATCTAATGTGAGTTTCATGGAATTATTCTAGCGTTTTGCAAACTTTTGTCAGGCCCAAATGTGTAGGAAAAACATGGTTTGGCCAAAAAATTATGAAAATAATTTCAACCTAAAATAAATGCATACAGTGTTGAATGAACGTGCCCTATAACTCACTTTTGATGTCGGGTTACCAATCCACGATGGTCAGTGACCTGAGAATCCGTAATTGTTGTTCCTTGTGCCCCTGCATCGATCGCAAGTGACTTGCTGGATGTGGTACACGCCAATATGAGGCGGTCTCTAATTCAACGTAAGTATAATATATTCCACACATTCTTTTCCGATTAGTTGATCAATTGTCGAGCATTTGAGCTTTGTATTTTGTTATCAAATATATGTACGCAATGAAATACATCAAAACAGACTTTTTGACGTTATTCAAATTTAGCAACAATTTTTATAACAATTTTAGCAAAAAAAATCCTTGTTTCAGCATCAAACAATAATTTTTGGTTTTAATGAATAATTTACTATTGCACGACATTATTCAGGATATCCTATTGCATGAAAACTGGGATGCAATTCAGGATGAATTATCAGGATTAACTTTAAAGCATCGCGTCTCATTATTCAGCTGGGTTCATGACTATCCGCTGAGAAACAAGTCATTCAGTGCAGCGACACATGCAATCGAATGCAGGCAATTCGGTTCGCTGCACGAGGACTCGACAGGCCAGAATATTCAGGCGTATCTTACAACCAAAGAAGAAGCTTCGTGGAGGCCGTTGGCTTGTGCATTTATTAACTGTCTTTCATATCGCCGCTAACAACGTTATTCTAGCAATAAAGAAGTAGTGCAGATGTTGCTTGCATCAGCCGACGGTGTGAGACACACGTGTTGAGTTGCTTCGAGAATCGCTTGTCATATATAAACAGAGGACGCCCAACTTCTCAGACACTCTGGCGTCACCTCAGTCGCTAGGCAGACGTCGTGGATAAGTTCTCTCAGTGACCAAATTCATTAGATTATCTTTGAATCATGACTGTCGCGTGTTCGGTTTTTTATACCTGCAATCTTTTATATCTACAATCTAAATAGAATGATGTGGAGTTTCAAATCATATTATTGAAAACTTCGTAAAACTTTTATTTACAAAAATTTTGAGTGTCACAGCTCTCAAAAAGTATCTATTCATGGCACCATGTATATTATTTAAATCTAGAGCGGATTGATGCATTTCTACCTCGATTGGTGTGTGGAAAGGAGCCGCTGCCGATCAGGAATTTAAAAGAAATTTGTTCTAAAGATTATTCTTCAACGGAAGGTGCATTGCAAACTTCATTAAATTGTTCCTCAAAAATTTTCAGAATTTTGCTAGCCTTTAAAGTAATTTTTTTTAAATAACGAGTGAATTATGTTTAAGAGGTCGAATAAAAAAGTTAAGTACAGTTGATTTTCTTAATTAAGCACTGAGCAGCTCAACGAAAAAAGTTGATCGTGAAATCTCACAGCTACTAAAGAATTACATAAAATAATTTTAGTGCATAATAATCCCACCACATACGCTCATATCTTTGCTCAGCATCGGCCAGTTTAGGATTTTTTTTTCTGTTTTTGCAAAGGTTGAAAATACTTCTGAATAACCATTCCCTTCGCTGATAAATAAGAACAAATTTTACAAGCTGCTTTTCTTTTATAAATAAAAAATTAAAAGCTTGTTTTCAGTCACTTTTATTTTTCATATTATATTAATTATCACATTCTTCCTTACAGAAGCTCTACCTTATATTTTTCTACCTTGACAGTGAATCATAAGCAATATCTAAAAAATCAATTATCGCACGACGGAAAAAAGGAAGTTGATAGAATTAAAAATAAATTCAAAGAATCACAAGAAATTGTGATTAAATAATCCCAATTTATAATCGAATAGAGAAACTATAAGATAATATACGGCACTTGAGTGACGTTCAGGATCGACACAGCAGGTGAGCATTTAGGTGGCCATTTGCACCAGGGATATTGCATTAGGAGCAAGGATTTAAGTAGAGGACTTGACTGACTCGAGGAACTAGACGTCAAGTGGAACATGATTACCGCGCTAAGAGGCTGCTTGCGTCATGCGAATACATTACGCCATAAGTTTGGGTCAAATTATTTATTTATGATCTTATATAAGTCAAACTATTTTCAATTCTGCAGTTAGGAAAACGAAGTTTGAAAATATTGTTTTCGATTGAATCTTTAACATGATCTTCCGTTTTCAGATTTTAAGTTATTTGGATCTGGTTGAAATTCCAGTGGTATTTCATAATTCAATAACAGCTGCTGTGAAATAGATTATCAGTTTTTTTCTACCTTGTACTGATTTGAAAAAATAATATTAATTTATTTGATCTTTTTCCATTAATGAACGTAGAGAGTTCAGTCAGTTGGGCAATAGGATTTCATTATCTGTGTATTGACTGTTATGTTTATATTACATTAAATCGATTTGAAAATGTGCAGTTTAATAAATCCTTTATTGCCATTTCCTCCATTATGCGAGACATTCACGCTGCTCTCAGAGGAAAATAGAGAAGTTGAAAGTTAGTGCAGTCACAGGATAAATCCGCCTGGGGAAAACACTGTTTGTCACCGTCGTCCGAGGCTGATCTTCGTTGAGATTTGTCATATGAGAAAAAAACATCCGTTCGTTTGGCTAAAGCGGAGCAATGAAAGCTATTTTCTCACGATGACAATTGTGATATTTTATTTGATAATTCCAATCATTAGATAATTGTATAACCTTCGCTGATTTGTTTTATGATCTATTCAGACTAAATTTATAAATTTATTAGCATCGTAATAGTTTCTGAACTGTAAAACTAATTATGCTTGACGAATGATTAAAAGTAAAACCTGATGAGTTATCTTGTCTGAACATTTACAGGGAAGCCGCCATGGAGTCGAAGCTTGTGATGTCTTTGCTTGTGGTGACGACGCACATCCTGTGTGCCAGAGGGCAACCAGCTGGAGGTGGGGAGCTGGGGGGCTTATTTTTCTTCATGCCAGAACCCGAAGCACAAGAAGCAGAGCCAATTTTTTCAGAAGCTCTTCCTGAACCTTTCCTCGAGGGTTGGTATGACGATGCAACAGATATCTTCACAGTTCTCGACCCTTCAGACCACGCCATATCCAAACGGTCTCTACTACCGAGTCTGCGACAGCATCGTCGACTCTTCTCAGCTCAAGCCAAGCGCTCTTTGAGGTCGTCGGCGACATTTACTGAAGAAGATTCCCACGAAAATAAGAAGCGGGCACTCAGTATTTTCATGGCCATGCCGGGCATGGAAGAAACGGTACCTGAACCACCGGCGAAATTCAGTTCGTCTTCCTCACGGTCGCCCAAACTCCGACCTTACGGCATGCCCTTGCGGTGGGGCTAGAATAAACTCCCATGCTTGTAATAGAACAAATCTGATGAGGTTTAATTATTATCAATATGATTTAGAATATGATGATTATTATAATAGCAGAGGCGTCGTTGTTCTGTAACATGATGAATATAGAATGAATTTGCTATTGTTGATAGTTTTTAGAAGCTTTAAGAGATAAAGAGGATTAGAAATGGAAATACATGAAGAAGGGAATGGGAATTTATGCAGTAAATATTATCTTTGTAATTGTGTTATTCACCTTATGAAACATTGTCGTGTTCTTGTTCACTTTTGTTACCTTATTAACAAAAACGTTTTTAGCATGTATTAACTGACTAAAAATAGTTAACATTTTGTTAATTTTTTTTACTAACCTTTCGTTAGAATTGTTGCTTACTTAAAACGATCATATATATACTCTTAACACGTATATGCGCTGCGCAGAGAGAATGAACTAATTGTGTGCGCTTACAACAAATTTTCATATATTAGAGTTGAAAGAATCATCGAAACGAGGAAAATATGATGCATCATTTTTACCCCTTATCTAATTCTATTTTTACTCAATACTATAACCGTATTTGCTAAGATGGCTAATGACGAGGTCGATGATGCATAAAGAATTTAATTTTTTTCTCTAGATCTGCATTTAATTTTTCATTCCATAACAATCCTGGCAATTTGCTAATGAACTGATGTTGGGGGAGGGGGGGAATGGGAGTTTGACGATGTTTATCCAATATATTTCTCCACTAACATAAATATTAAACTCAGCATTAAGTTAGAATTCGTGTCAACTAATATTGCCGATTTCTTGAAGATTTTGATTGATTTTTCTCGGTCATAGTGAACTCTCACTTTTTGACTAAATGAAAATTATTAAAATTAATAATCGACTCAAATGAACATTTGACGAAAATGCTTTTAGAATTTTCCGAAATATAGAGGGCGTGCCTACCACGAGGACCATTTAATAAAATTTAGTTCAAAGTCCGTTGCCAAAGCAATTTGCATGTATAAAAATGTATGATGGAGGCTGTAATACGAAATTTTAAATCACGTGAATTTCACGAAGCGCTTATTACAATAACCATAAACAGATGTGCTAAAATTTCTCGAGTTTTCTTATCCAATATTGAAAGACCTACTTCTTATGCTCGTTCAATTTTACTTCTAATTTATTAGTATTGTATTTTATGCCTTTTTTGTTGTTGTAAATTACCAAAAAATTTGTAATCTAATAAGCATAAAACATAAAAGATGAATAATTTTTCACGGAAAGAACAATTCAACTATTTAATTGCTTTCATTCACAGTGCAAATATTGTGAATTCCTCGCCAACATCAGTGATGTTTTGGAGCTCGAGTTACCAAGAGATATTCAAATATTTATTTAGCAGTGCACTGCTTCTTAAAAAACATTCTAGAACTATTTTGTAGCTGGTGATACGAGAAATTAGACACAATTCCACACTTGAGTGAACAACATATTATCAAAAATAAATACCCCTTAAATATCTTATTAAAAGCATAAAAAATTAAAATTTTACGGTTAAGTGCCCTTGGAGAAACTAGAAATCCACGCAAGGGTAAAGTCTAAAGGGCCCAAATTAAATTCAAAAGAACTCCTCAGTATAGCAGCACAAAGCAAATTCTTCCGTTTATGGAGCCCCGCTGCTGAAAGCTTTCCGTCGTATTTATGAAGTAGAGTTGAGAATTTTACAGCAAGAATGAAAGCTAAAATTTTTGATCGAGTTGCCAAAATACAATATTATACCTCAGGTATATCTTATATTCGACCTTGATTTAAGTCATCTGAATTTTTCTCTCATAGTTTCTTTAAGCCAATAGGTGTCATCTTAATCCATACTAAAACTTCGAAAAAATTTTAAAACAACACTTAAAGTGTAAAGTTACACACATGATGAATCTTGTTCATTAAGATTGACGGCGAATTTCTGAACTTGTTATTTCCAAAAGCTGAATTCTGAACAATTTATCATTTTTCAGCACAAATGTATGGGGCCACAAATGAAATAATTTGCTCCCTAAAATATGACATCATTCACAACTGTCGGCCAGACTGGATGGAAGGATATCTTCTACCCATTTTTATTCCTGGCTTCTCGCTAAGACTTGCTAAGTACTGATTAATCAATCTTACACTTATCTAAATTAATTGTGATTGATACTTCAATAATATGGGCTAATACCAGCTGTAAAAACTTTCCTATGTGCTTACGGTAGGTTCTCATTACCGCGTCGGATTAAACAACCGATTCACTTACGTGCATTATTCATCTCAGTCGTAGTCACGTTGCCAATTACTTACAAACAATTAACGAATTCATACGATCTTGCCATAATTTCTTAAACTCAATGTTACCATAATATTGGTTGCAGTCATTTGCAAATGTATTCGTTTATGTTAATTTTACCTTTCAAATCTCATGAAACATTCCCGTCAAGAAAGAGATCAAGATCTACAAACGCACGTCAATAATAACCTACAACGAGAATGAGTTCTGAAAATCATTAACAACAGAAGCAATTATCTTCAACAAATTCTTCAATTGAACAGGTTAGAAATGTTTTAAGGTTCGATTACCTCATAATAACTACAAAGCTGTTTTAATCTCGCTGGAAATATGTGGTTTAGTTTCGTTTTTAAATAGATCGTTTAAATTCATGTGCACGCTGGCGACATACGTTATGTGGTGACTTAATGGGCATTGACGTTAGTTAATTACAATACTTATCTAACACGCATAAATATTTTCTTATCATGATACTATCATGTTTGCTTCAGCTGGGTTGCTCATTACCATTCCTTGCACATTGAAGTGAGCTCAATATATGTACTGATATAAAGTGTTTTCAAGCAAGTCTGCTATCTCGGCTCTCAGTTTATCTGGAAACTAACTACAAAATTAGGATGTGCAGCAAGTTTTAACAAACAACACAGCAGTTGTAATAATTTATTAGCAAAAATAGAGGCGTGGCGCCAAGTTACTCAGAAAAAGTCGCAAACATTCATGACCAAATAGTAGTATATATATTGTAGCAGGGAGCTGACACACGGAGGCCTAGTCCATCATCAAACATAGACGATAAAAATCTGTTATGAAACAAGACATTTCTGTAAAATAACTTCCCACACTGAGTACATATTGTAACAGTCCCTTCGATTAACTTCTGGGAAAAATCTGATTTTGAAATAATTACAAAAATTTGAATTGAAAATTTGAAATAATTACAGAAATTTTTCAGTTTACATGAAGAGAGTTCATACGTGTATAATACACAAATTTTCCAGTGAAAAGCGCACGAAGAGCATGCAGCTGAGGTGATCCATTTCCCAAGAAAGTTATCACTGCCGGGACATGATTTGTTGAGTCACTGTTCGCCCCGGCATTGAAGGCAATCACACTCGAGACGGAGAATGAACACAAAACGTGAATGAATGCTCGAGTATAACGATGATGATTAAGCAACATTTATTATTCATGATTCAGAACACGTCAAATATTCATTTATTCATAAGAGCGTTTTTACGATAGTTAAGTACTGCAAGATACGAGATATCAGTCAAACCGGACCTGATATATGACGTTTATAGAAGCAGGTCGTGGTAAGTGTATTAGATATTAGCTTAACCGTTGCTTTCAATTGGTTGTCGTCACTCGTAGGTGAATTATAATTACTAAATGAATTAGTAATTTATTTCCATAAGTATAAACATCAATAATGCTGCTACACATTTACTAGTAGTCTAAATATCTATGTCGCATTTCTTGGTCAAGATAATTGAGACATTAGAACACATCACACAGATGATGAAGGGGGTAATTGTCTATTACAATTATAGACTATAACAGCCATGCTTCGAAGATAAATTATATTCGACAAAATTGTAGCTTCAGCCTCTGTACTGTTATTTAAATTAGTCTTTTTCAGTAAATCACAGAGCATCCTTTGAAATAACATTCTTAATGGACTAGAAATGTCAGTCGGTAACGATTTCTTTTTGTTTTTAGCGCTAAAAACTTCGAATTAAACAGTCGCAAAAATATTTGATTAAATTAACCTAAAATGCGATGAATTAGCACGTACGTAATGTAGCGAAGAACATAAGATTCGTGATGGAAATTAAAACTCCCATTAAATTTTTTTAACAAATAAACTTTATAACTTTTAACTTTTTATGAATTAACATTATCGCCAAAAACCTAAATATTGGAAAGCTAATACTTGCACAAGCAACGTTCTTGTTCTAATATGCATATCTTTCATTGATAGAAGAATGCTTTGATGAATGATAGGAGATATCTAGACATCTACATATATGCAGCTCACTGCTCTTACTTTTGATTTATACAATGCGTATCATTGCATCATCGCATCATGATATCATCATATCATTGCATGATTTGCATCATCGTATCATGCTATCATCATATCATTGCATCATCGCATCATGCGGTCATCGCATCATGCTCTCATCATATCATTGCATCATCGCATCATGCTACCATCGCATCATGCTCTCATCATATCATGCTACCATCGCATCATGCTCTCATCATATCATGCGATCATCATATCATGCTATCATCATATCATGCTACGCGTCATCGTTCGGCCATGTCGTCGAAGCAAAGTTTTATAGCCTGCGATGCATCAAATATCATAAAATCATCGGGTTAATGATGGCAAAGAACGAAAATGCCTAATAAAAAGCCACCAAAAACCAAGAACAGACATTTTTCTAATGAAAAAACTAGGAGAACAAAACATAGATGAATTCATTTAAATGCATTGCAATACGTTCAAGTCACTGCACAATACTCGTCCCTGCAGCATTTATACTAAATCCCTGCACAATACAATGTAGAAAAGTTGAAATTTATAAATGAAAACTTGAATTCTGTAAGTTATCAAGCCATTGAAATGTTAAAATGAGCTAAACAATAAAGATCTTATGAAGGGCAGACTATTGGATAATTGGTCCGACAAAATAATGCATCAACTGCGCCATTACACACCCTGTAGTTATTCATTGGCCTGGGATATTATCACATTTCATCAACCACAGACGCATAACTTGTCACAAATTAATTTGAGAAATCGACAAAAAATCATTATTGTGATAATGTATAGCCATAACTTAAATTAAACTGCAATGACAAGTCCTATTTGATTCCAGTTTACGCAGGCTGTTCCCTGAAGAAGCCATTTTGCGTAAACATACCCCACGTATTACCATGTGTTAAAAACATGGTGTAACTTGAGGTACACATGTTAAAAGTATAAGTACTAATTGAGATTTAAATTGTTCTTTCGGAATAATTTAAATCTTAAATTTAAATTAGCCATACGGGAATAAAATATGCGGTTCTACAATGGTCATTTTCATTTTTTTGCTCTAATTCATTGATAGTGATTAATATTTTTACAATTATTTACCCTACAGTTTCACTGGTCAATTCCAAAGATAGTTTACAGTCTAACTCCCAAAGAATAGAACTTCATGGAATAAAAAGTTTTGTAGTATCTGCACTTTTATAACGTCTTCGACCAAGCTATTTGAATTAATTCCATTTTCAATTAACATTTATTGATATTAATAATCTTCTATTAGACTTTTTCTTGTTTTCTGAATTCACTTATTGTTGACACTTGAGTTTGTGTTTGCTTGTACAACACCTGAACCTCGGTCAGCTCCCGTTACACATCTGCCTATTCAATATATCGCATTCAAAATTTATAAATTTCAAAATTGCAGAGCGGTGCGAACACTACAATGTATATAAGTCTCCCCTTATTATATATATTCAGACCGTTTTCCAACCCAAAATTGTATGCCCGTTAATTTTAAAACCCCAAATTGGATGGCTATTAAATTATTAAATGCATAGCTCGTCACAACGGCCATCAGTTCTTCTTGTTCTTGTCTTGGCGGGCCGCTGCACCGCTGCCCTCGAGGACCATGCGCTCCAGCTGGGCATAGTACAGAGGGTCTGAGGATCAGAGGGTCTGCAGACGCCGCTTCTCCAGCAGGTAGCCGGGGCTGATGCAGACCACGCTCTCCGTGCCCCACCCGAAAAGTCTGTGATGAATAAATAAAATATATAAATGAATACAATCGCAATAAATAAATAAATGAAATGAAAGACTGCTACGAATAAAACCATAGCTCATTAAAAGTTTTCGGAAACGAGTAGGGGTGAGTAAATTTAATTGTTGGAAGATTCTAATAATTATTGATTCTCGCATCGCGGCGACAGTTCAGGCAGTAAAGAGTTTATTTAGGCGTCAACAATTCAAAAGAAAAAAATTTTGCCTTAGAATGTACAAAAGGTACTATTTCAGCTCTTGATGATAATTGTTTCACCCAATAATTATGGCATGAAAATTAGGCCAGGTTTCAACTAGAAGACGACAACCAGCTAATTAGAGGAGCCAATAATTATTAAATAAAAATATGACTGTTTAATAAAATCTAACATGTAGTCAGAAATTGAATTCTATAATCGAAACTACAAATTAGGCTAGGACTGTAGTAGATCGATCAAACTAATAATTTCTTTAGTTTACCACCTATTTATTTATTTTTTATTTGGGTTGTGACCTGAGCATCGTGTAACCTGAGCATCGGCTGCGGTCCCAGTTTAGGCTGAGTGTGTCAAAGTGAAAATTTCTTCATTGTATCACTTAATATTAATAATTATATGAGTTGTTACCGAAGCAGCGTGTTGTTGTTATGAGGGCAGCTGCGGTCCCTGTTTAGGCTGAGTGTGTCAAACTGAAAATAACTTCATTTTATCACTTAATTAATTAATTATATGAGTTGTTACCTAAGCAGCGTGTTGCTGTTATGAGGGCGGCTGCGGTCCCGGGTGAGGCTGAGCGTGAGATGCGTCGTCACAGGCAGTTTGGGGTCACACTTTATCCTGCCGATAGAAACGCGCTCCTCTCCATCACGGTACTCTATTTGCAGCACGCACCCTCTGTAACAACAATATATTTAATGATATAAAAATATTCATAAGTTTAATCGGTGACACATGCAAGTAATGAATAATTAATAGAGAGTTTCAACCAAAATTCATAATAAAAATTGAACTCGTGTGGGAACGAGTGTCCATGAAGGCAGAAAAAAGTTTATCGGAAAGTTAACTTTCCTGTTACATCATTTACGTTGCTCATATTGTAATATGACGACAAGGGGTGTTATGATAACAAAGGAAAAAAAAACATGTTCCTGTTTTAATATTTTCACAACGAAAAACTACACCACGACAGCCCGGACATTAACCCTTATAGTACTGCGTACGTACAACTGTACCTAAACTCGGTGCGTTAATAACCTTGCAAATTTCGGTGCAGGTTTTTAACCTTTGTTATCAGACCAAGGTTAAAAGATGAGCGTTTGACCAACAAGCTCACCGTATGCGGTAAAGTTCGCCTATTTTATATTCGCCTGTATTTATTTATTAAATAAGCTCTATACACCGCATAGTTCGCCTATTTTATAATTGTCAGTAGGTATATAATAAATAAATAAGATCACCGGATGCCGTAAAGTACGCCCATTTTATATTCGCCTGTATTTATTTAACAAATAAGCTCTATATACCGTATAGTTCGCCGATTTTATAATTGTCAGTAAATAAAAAATAAATAAGCTCACCGTATGCCGTAAAGTTCGCCCATTTTATAATCGCCTGTATTTATTTAACAAATAAGCTCTATGTACCGTATAGTTCGCTTATTCTATAATTGTATATAATAAATAAATAAGCTCACCGGATGCCGTAAAGTTCGCCCTCGGTTACGCGTACGACGTCCCTGGCGAGACGACTCAGGAAGTCGGCAGCGACCATCACAGAGACGGAGCCTCCCTCGCACCCTGGAACCTGGCATGCAAACCAACATGTTGAAGATAAAAATACAAGTTAAAACTACATGTATTATGAGTGGACATTGAGGTGGACCATCCAAGTGAGTCATAATTAGGTCTTACAAACTACAGGTATTATGATGAGTGGACATTGAGGTGGACCATGCAAGTGAGTCATAATGACGTCTGGAAGACTTTATTCCTCATCAGTCGTGTTGAGCGAGCAAGCTTGGTTTGGCAACTGGATGTCGTCTGACTTACTGTACTCATATTGTAAAACACGTACATATTGTACTCATATTGGCTCCAAAACAATCAGAATACTTTGGGTGTAAAGGTTTAAAAAAAAAGCATGGCTAATATAAGACTATTCGGGCATATACAATCGGTAAGCCGTCAAAATATGTTAATTATTATGTTAAGGTTATGTTAATATGAGTAGTGAAGAAAAATTTCCTTATTTATGATTTATTTCAATAACCTGTGCCAGGCGGTTGCTGGACTTCTGGATGAGTTTCCAGATGTGCTTGGAGAGCAGCATTGCGGCCGCCTCATCCTGAGACTCGCGGTAGTCGAAGAAATCTGCAACGAGATCGAAATAAATATTATAATGACGAACTCGACAATGAATGAAACAATAATCCCACCGAAGATAATCTAGCTCCATTTATTTTACACGATAGAGAGTGCACTCCTTAATGAAATAAATCGATATGGTATTCATATTACTTTATAGATCAGAGTAAAACGTACTGTATGAAGAGATGGATTATGAACAAATTTTAGCTTAAAGACAATATCCCGCCACTGCTATATAAATTATTTACCCAACATGACATTTAAATGTCATAAATTATAATGAATACCGCTACGTAAATATTCCGCGGGCGAAATGGTAATGGTCCGTAAGTCATCACAAAGTAATAATCCAATAACCGTAATCAATTTTTCATGATCGTTGAAATTTTTTTTCTGCTCCATCTTCTTTGACAAAGATTACAAGCCATCACTTCACCCCCACGATGCAGTCTATAGGTTTCAGAACAAAATCTATTTTCAGACGACTTAGAATTCATATAAAGACACAGAAAGCGAAGACGCTTCAACGAAAATTGCCTCGTCAAATTATAAAGGAATAGGCTCGGGGTGTGACGCAGGCAGGCCAGTGAACGTGAGAGGTGACTGACGTCACGAAGAGTGACCGCGGATCGATGCAAGAGCTGCGCAGTCAGCGTAACAGACGGTGAATGCAAGTATAGTTAAGTGCATCCAACTGACACACTAGCGCCTGCATGTGGTCACATGAATCTGAATTGCAATCATACAAACCTGGATGTATGATTTTCAGAACCTATGCGTTTATGTTTCCTACGCGCATATATTTCTTCCACACATGCTCAGTGTTCATTTGCAGCAGTAGAAAGGCGTTAAATTTGTTCTGTCAATGTAATTTTAAATTATTAAGTTTATTCGTCAATAAAAACTGATAGCAATATCTAACCAGATTTGAATAAAAATAAAAGTTGGAATAAAGTTAAAAGTGCGTACAACAATTTTCTAGTTAAGTCAGGTTGCGGTAGGCGATAGAAAGAGTTATCCTAAACCTTGAATAAAAGTTATTTTTATTGAATTCCTCGCTGTAGCCTTGTAAGGTCAGACGTTCATTTATTTAAGCAGCGACAGTATTTGTAAACTTCAGGAAAATTAGCCGCGAGAGCCAAGGCAAAGCGACGCGTTTATAACCACCACAAGCGCTTGCATTTGAACGAGGTCAGGTCAAAAATACCAGGTTTTGTGGTCTATTGACCATGAGATATAATACGCTCAAGGCTTTGATCGAGTAAGAGAACACTGAAGCTTCTCACTTCCTATACCAATTCAAAGGAATAGAGCGCAAATCTTTGTTTTCCGAACCGAAGATTCAGGAATTCTGATTAAATTGATCTCTATTCAACCATATTTATCTTGAAGATTATCATGACATGGTCTTATGGTTTATGGCTGAATATAAAAAGGATGGATTTCAACGATGCCGTAATTTATGTCTATACCAGCACATTAAATCTCTGTAATTTCTGTTTCATGTGAGAAGTTTTCATGTGAAAAGAGACGCATCATTGATATTTTTTTACCATGATATCAAGTTTCACTATTCAAGTCACGTACACCGCTAACGGCATTTTGAAGTGTTTACAATAAATCAATCCTTATATGCTAACACAACTATTTTATATGGAAAATTTTTCAAGATTTCTACATTGTCATATGAAAAATACCTATATATTCTGAAGGGCATGCATTCATCTAGCTTATTAACTTGACCTCGAGCTGCGAAATGAGGACGAACAATAATTATTAACCTCTTCCAGCGGAACATAAAACATCGATTAATACTCGCCAGAGCCTTGTCCTAGAAACGGGCCAAGGTCGATCCCTGACCAACTTTATATCTGGGGCCACTGAACCCTCTTCGCCCTCTCCCCGTCGTCCATTTCTATCTAAAAGAATATTAATCAGAAACCTTCAGTGTAGTGCCTGAATTTAAAAAAAATTGACAAGTGTCAGTTTTTAGTTTCTTTCCAACTCACTTATTTTGTTATTAGCGAAGAAATTGAAATTTGTTAAATACAAAATGCGCCGCCAAGAAGCTCATGAATGATGTCAAGGAAATCAGAACCTGACACAGCGGCGACCCAAAGAGTCAGGAATGCATGGCGTCGCTTTAGTGCTCATGAGACGAAAGCATGTCAGTTTGTCTTGAAAATAAGTTTAAAAAGAAAATGTACGAAGAAAAACCTGAGGTCACGATTATGTTCTTGCAAATTGTCCCAATATCAGAAGGAAAGGGGACCAATTGTGTAAATTAAGCGGCTTTATAAAAACACTTGTTCCACTTCAATGTTGGCAAAGTAATCAAGTGCTTGAATCACATGCAGGAAATCCTATGAAGTTTTATTTCTGATCTTCAGAAAATTCGGAGCAACGTCTTAACGCCTACCTGGCGACACTGTGCTTCCCGTTACGAAAGTCGAGACAACGCAGGCTGACAGTGTTGAAGTAAGTGAAGTGAACCAATGTGAGGTCGGTAACGGGTGCGATCAATTAGCAAGTGAGCTGCATATATAACTCGGTCGATGGCTCAAAGGACAAAGCCACAAATACTCGGGGAATTTTAAACAAAGAAATGAGCGAATTGAATACGAGCAGACACCAATAAAGGTTTCCCTGTGGTATCAAAGGTTAGGTTTTCTTTGGCACGGCGTTGTGCCCAGCAACAGGTAATTGAACCGAGGACATACAGGACAGGAATGTTCTTTTTTCACTTCTCTAGTGCCGAAGAAAATTGAGAAATGTCGACGTGTTTTGCAATCGCATTCAAGGCAAGTCTACATCTCATGTTTCGCATTTTGTAAATTTCTTTTATTTACTAATTTTGTTCACAGCGAGGAATATGGAGAGGAATATTTACTCATTTTAAATTGTAATTATTAATTATATATTCTTTATTCTTTCTGGCGCCTCTTCTTCTGCTTATATCTAGATGTTAAATTTAACTTAATGTAGAAGTGGTTAAAAGATAATGGCAATTAAATTGAAATTATACATCAAAGCTTGAAATTTTTCAAACCATCACACGCCGAAATGTTTTACGTTCTGTCCCTAAGTTAAAGAACATACAGTCATCGACTGAAGAATGCAAAAGTCACACAATTTAAAACAAATTAATCTACAGAAATATTATTTAGTTGACTCAATGAGCGAGAATGTGCATTACAAAGGGATTCTTTCTTACTAAATCGAAGTATAAACTAATTTCAGTACACAAAATATGCCAATGAAAATATTTATCACCATAAGGTTTAAATTAATAGTCTTGAAATAATTATAGAACTCTAGGATTGAAATGCAATTTCATCCTAAAATCATGTTACGCAATTCTTGCATTTTAGTTAATGATTATGGGCACCGTATGCCATACCGCCAAACTGCCATGCTGGACGATATAATTTATTAGTTTAGGACGGCGGGACGAACAGAGCGCGACACACGCGCATGCCTGGCAAGCACAAACCGACAGTCGCCGGATAGAGACCAAGTTGGGTTTTTCTCAGCAACACGTGTCCAGTGCATGGCAGAGCAAGAGCGACAGTCGCTGCCAGTAAACTTACGACCTGCAGCTCAGCGGCTGGCAACACCGGCGAAAATCTGCCGCCATGTGCATTGTGCATACCAACCTCAAGCATCTGCTGCCATGTGCATTGTGCATACTAACCTCAAGCATCTGCTGCCATGTGCATTGTGCATACTAAACTCAAGCATCTGCTGCCATGTACATTGTGCATACTAACCTCAAGCATCTGCTGCCATGTGCATTGTGCATACTAACCTCAAGCATCTGCTGCCGTGTGCAATAATAAAAATTGTGCATACTTACCTACTAATATTATAGTGAAGATTAGATCTTGTATATTTTACGACAGAAATTATTCACAGAAAGAAGATCCTAGTCCCGCGGACCACCGCTAGACTAAATCAGTCAACTTAGTTCGCTATTTATTAGCGTATTGATATAGATGAAATAAATATAGCAGCAAATATGTATATAGCAGCTAATTAATATAGCAGCGTAATCAGCAGCTAATATTTATTACTGATGTTACCTGGTGGTGCGCTGTCGTTGAACGGGAGCTCCAGGTGGCACGCGACCACGTATGTTTTCATTGTTTTGAACGCTTTGTACTACAAAGACCTATTTAATGCCAAAATAATTCATCGCGCTGAAACCATTGTTTTTTGCAGAATAAAAAGATATGTTGAATGGCATCCAAACAGCTTGGATAACATCCAAATGTAGGACTTATGGACGCAGCTGCTTCTTCAATTATTTGTTCGGTTCCTCACACATTCATGATCATCAATTTTATTGAAATATGAAAGTGATTGAGCAATGCATTTGAAGTCATTTGCAAAGAAAATATCTAGCGTTATATGCACGCAATGTAAGCAGTGAGAAAATATGTTTTGGCAATAACATATCACTAACGTTAGGAAATAGAAACATATATTTTGTAAATTATATATGGACAATATAATCCATCGATGTCGAAATTTATATGAGTCTTGAAAGTACAATCCCCCTGCATAGTATAAAAGAGTACTGAAACGGTCAACAAGGGATAAGAGACATACAGTGGTCACTAAATTTCGTAAAGTTGTTCATCTCGAAAGACATAGTCTAAAATATAGTGCAAAAACTCTTTCAGGAAGTGACTCGTGAAGCTTCAAGTCTCTTTGACTTGCTTTCAACACCAAAAAACGACGCCCAACGACAGTGAAGACGAATGCTTCAGTAGCGCCTGCCAACCTAGTCTTACATACAATGTTGACGTGGCGTCACATAGCGAGACGCGAGCTGCGGTGGCGGCACAGGCCATCGGAAATTTCCACTGGCTGTACGAGCGAAACAATAAAAAATCTCCCGTAGACTTTTGCCACTCTGAATTCAGAAGCAAGTATGGAAATATTGGGCGCGATTATATTTAAATACGTATATTTGGTTGAAAATTTCAAGTTTGAAGTGTATCCGTCACATTTTTGGAATCTGAATCGAACAAAATCGCCTCAAAAACTTTAGATGTAAGCCTTCTAACTAACTACCGAATTATCCGCAAATAGAAATTTCAGACATAACTCGCCGCAGTATCAAAGAAAATCCAAACAGATTGGACGACGAAAGCTCATTCGACGAAATGTTATTATAACTAGACAGCATAATGCCTTCGTATGATGCAGGCAATAAAACGAAAAAGCTTACTCTTATAATCAAACGAATAAATAAAAAGACAGAAGTAATACTATGGAAACTTTTTAAATTGCTTGAAACTTTTCGTTAGTTATTAACAATTAATGCTTTGCTGACCAACAATGGTAGCTCATTGTGTGAAGTATCAAGCTTTCATGATTCAATGCTTTAAGAAACTAAGATAACAATCTAGATTACAGTTGAGGATCTCTGCTTTGGCAATATGGCAATTAGTTAATATATATGTGCTTAAAACCGAGAATGGGTCCTGCTAAACATACCGAAAAAATCTCTGAATAAATTTTTTCAATACTGCCACAGACCTGCATTCGGGTAGAATTAGGTTCAAATCAATACAACACATCGAAACGTAAAAATTGTGAAATTGACTTACACGTGTGTATTAAATTGAATATTGAGTATAAAATTTACACGTGTACAAAATTTATTAGATCTGTTGAAATATGCTGGATGCTAATGACAGCAACGGCGGTTTGTCTATGTACGGTCTCCTGCCAAAGCAGCGGCCAAGACTGGTTGACACTTGGTGTGACGTCAATGTGCCTCATGTCGAAAATTAAGAGAGAACTTTCTTCAAATTAATGCTAAATGCATGAAACATTAATAGTTACTTAGTATGACAAGCAGTGCTTCAAAATAAATATTATCATGCAGTATACTTCTTAAAATCATCAAATAAATTAGAGGTCTTACGGACAGCTAACTCATCCACATGTGCAAGCCTCGAAGAAGAGCCCCAATCAATTACGAATCGGGAATTATCAATTGAATGTCAAACAGCGAATGAATTCTGATCAACTCGGTGGGTTCTGAGAAAAGTTTGTGCAAGGAAGCATAAACTGTAATGTAGAAATTATCAACAAAGAACGCGGTGAGTAAATTGAATTCTAACCACTTAAAATTTGTAGGATAAAATCGATGTATGTACATTATCACTGCAAAAGGGTAAATGTTCCCTAAATACTGACTCAAATATGATGACATCGAAAGATCGAGAAAGGGCAAAAAGTCCAGAGGGACACAGTATCACGCGCCAGCTAACTGCGCCGGTTGAATTTTGAACAAGTGCGTTCCAATCCTTGGCAGTCATCGGAGTATTGCGCACACGTCAACCAAGGAAGAGCTGGCCAGGGCTGTCCCGTGACAGGAATACCATATATGGCAATTGGATATACGTGGCCACCGCATCGGTAGGAGTGAGCACGAAAATAAACTGCTATTTTAAGGACGTCAAGAGGGAGTGTTGTTAGGCGCGCAATATCACTGGCGGATAGGTGGGCGTGTTTGGAAACGCAAGCTTCACACGTGGCTGGGCAAAAATCATAAATTTCTTCTTACGTGACATGTTTACAGATTAGCGGCAAAACTCTTGGGACATAGAAATGAATCATGAAATCATACCTACCCCGTTATTTAACAATTTACAATTCATAATCATCGAAGCATTTGGGATGTTTATTTGCTATCCACGGTGGGTGGACTTGATGCCCCCGTAGATATCCCGAAAAGAAAAAAAAGTTGGCGCTTCCGAAGCAGATTAAGTGCTACAGCTTTTACTTACGGTTGAAGATGAGGTTAACAATTTCTCTTCAAGTCAAATAGAACACCTTTCTCCTCAAGTCAAGTAGAACACCCTAAATCCATGCACACCACGGTATTGCTCAATCCTGGTGCTAACCGAGCCTGACTTAATTGCAAGTCTTAATCGCTTGAGCACCTAACAACACCTTAAAAAAACTGCATAATTCCTGTTTTTTTTATAAAAGGGGCATATGATCGTCGATAATTCAGCTGATAAATTATTAATTGGATTTTACATGCGTGCTTCATATGATCAAAACTTCTGCAATAAAACCTGAGGCTCCCGCCTCATCCCAAAAATAAAATGTTTGAGGTTGTCTGGAACGATGAGTTATGGTGTCTATCATGTATCCAGTAGATATACTATGCTTCGGAAATAACAGTAAAGAAATTAGTTTGCATTATTATTAATTGTTTCATTTTTGAAGTAATTTAAACTTACTTAATAGTTATAGCTTATTACCAGTATACCATAGCAACGGTATTAAATATCGGCAATTCAGTCAAGTCTAAGGAAAATATAATAAATATCCGCGTTTCTTATTATTCTTAATGACGGCAGCAACATGCTATTCGCTATAAATGACAGTTGATTTAAAATATAAATGATCTATTGTAACCAGGCTTTTCTTCTTTTGTTCAGCAACGCAAAACTTATTGTTCAGTTCGAGATTTTACTTGCAGTCAATAGCCATACTTAATATAATAGAATAATAATAATTTATAATAATAATAATAGAAGTTGTGCATCGTTTAGTTCGGGATTTTATCTGCAGTCAATACGCATATTTTATAAGTTGAGATTGTTTACTTCGGGGTTTTACCTATAATCAATAGGCAAACTTTATAAGTTGTGCACCGTTTAGTTCGGAGTTTAATTGCAATCAATAGGCATACTTTATAAGTTGTGCATCGGTTAGTTCGGGATTTTCCCTGCAGTCAATACGCATATTTTATAAGTTGTGCATTGTTTAATTAGGGATTTTACCTTTAATCAATAGGCAAACTTTATAAGTTGTGCACCGTTTAGTTCGGATTTTAATTGCAATCAATACGCATATTTTATAACTTGTGAAATTTGTTATTTTTAATTGTAACTCGTCATTAATAGTATGTCAAATGTTTTAACCCACTTCTACTTTGTCTTTTTAAATTGGTAAACAGAAGTTCCTGGTAACTCTTAAAATGTAACAACATGATCCAGTGTTTGAATGAACAAAAATTAAAGAACATTCTAATCTCAGTAAAATGGTCCGATTTATTTCTAGTCAAATGCCTACGTGGACCATAGTTAACTGAGGGCTCAGAAGGGTGGTATTCAATCAATACTTCCTCGTGACACGAGATAAAATATGGAAGCGTCGTAAATGGCACCATACCTGCTTCTGACCTAACCCGATATTTAATAATATCAAGCAGATACAATAATCACGAACTTGTCGTAGTACTCACCACTTGGCAAGGCCGGCAAGGCGGCCTTGTACGTGTTCGGGCGTAAGATGTTCATCGCAGGTCAGCGAGATGGCGGGCGATGGAACAGGTGAAATGGAAAACTCTTTGGCAGGTCTCGGCAAACTTTTAGAGAGTTTTTCTTCCCTCGGTTACTAGGTTTCAATGCTTCGAAATATCCAGCAGCCCAGCAGGTTAAGCACACTTCAGATGTATCCTCTTGAAGAGTTTCTGATGTAAGCGCTGCTTCAATGCAGATATACAATGCTTGCAAAATGCAAAAATGGGTGGGACGTAGTTTAAGGGCTGTAGTAGTCGATAAGACGAATCAATCTTTTCTTAGTCTTCTTATTGGAATCCGCGTTTGCAGCAAGGTTGAGACACCAACTTTCCATGTATACAGCCAATAGTTGAACAATAAAGATGAACTTGAGAGGAGTGAAGAGCAAGCTCAGAGCGCTTGACTGAACTCCTTTACTTGCGGGAACGTAGACCAGACTGAAGGCGTCGGCGGTTGGCGCTCTCTTTATGACTGCCGGAGGTTTCCGCCAAACGACGCCGTCGTGTGCCTCCGTAGCTGCAGCTGCTACGAGCACGCGTGCTCTGCATGACAAGAACTTGTTATGAAATAAACTGCGCTGCATGATATGCGACAGTATTATTGGAACTCAGTTCAGTTTTGTACTTGAAACAAACTTATCTGAGTTTTTTGCTAAGATGCTACTCCAAGTTTTATATAAGTATTGCTCAACTGATGCTTGGGATGAAACTGTTGCATCAGCTACGGTAGCTGCAGAATACAAAATTCTTATCTCGATACCATAATAATAAATTCCTGGAACTCAATTCTCTTACTTTGTCGTCATAGCCTACATTTGATATATATGTATTTGCTGGCTATTATAATGGAAGTGCCGCACAGAAACCCACAAGGGAAAACAAAGTGAAAAATAATCATTGTGCATTTGATATTAAGTTCACTGTACTGTGCACATACTTTTTAGCGCATTTTCTCATTTATGGAAAAAATGCACTATTGTTCTCGCCATGTCCGTCTGTCTGTCTGTCTCTCCGTCCGTCCGTCTGTCCGTGACCTCAAGTTTTCGTCGACGAGAAAATGCGCTCTCTGTCACTCACTGCTGTGAGTACTGAGTTATATTTTTTTTAGTTTTGAACAATCAATCTGAAAGGAGATTTTCTAAAAAAATCTAAATACCTAAATCCACGCTGCATTTGCTGGTAACAATCTATAGTCTTCATTTTTCGTAGTAAGCAATCTTCTACGATTGAAATGTGTATTTGCTTTATGTGAAAATTTTTTTTAATCATTTTATAACAATACTTTCAGAATTCCTTGGTGGGAAGTCATAAGGTACGTACAGTCGATGTTCAGCTAGGGCCTTTATGGTCTTGGCAAAAAAGGAAGGTCTACTGAGACGTGCATACTGTAGAGTGCCAAGTTATTTACGGCCTCTAGGCTTATGTCATCAAAACCATGCAGGAAGCTTGACAGAAAGCTGCAGCCAAATGCGCCATCGAAACTGCATTGAGGAAAATTAGCGAAATGTTCATGAAACTTCAATGCAGAAGTTTGTGCATTTCAATAGTAAACTCTAAAGAATTTCGACGGCGAATGTCTGCAAATATAGAGTGTGTAAAGTCTCGCTGCCACTTCTTAATTGGAATTAAGGGATATAGCAACGGCAGCCAAAACGGTACGTAATTGTCTGCGTCCTTGATCAAGAGGATCGAACAAGGCTGAATGACTGCAGTTATTCTTTTAACACGAGCGTAGAGCGGTAGAGAATAAGTATTTTGATAAATGACCTTTTGCCCTTTACTAACTTGTTCGATCTAAGATAACAATCGAGGCATTACAAGTAATTGCTATATTAAAAAAAAGGTATTCGGCTCATAAGTAATTTAATGAAGTGTGCTATATTGAATAAAGTCATTCTTAAGTCGATTTGTTCATAATTGCGAAAGTTATACGGGGAATAAACTAAAAAGCAACTGCATCACGGTGAAAATAATTATTATTATCTTAACAATGTAATTACATATTTAATTTCTAAGTATGCAATTATTTGAGCCAATCGCGACGAAGCCACAACCTTAAAAATGTATCATTAAGTATGAATAATGTCTGGATCGATGAACGCACATGGCAGTAGAGCTCTTCGGGCATATTTTTTTTAGTGCATGAGACCGAGATTTTGTATACTATCTTTCATAAAAATTTGGCGTAAGACCATTATGATGAAGGAAATATGATCAGTTCCAGCTTCTAGCTTGCAGCCGCCAAGCTAGATTCAAAGGTGGTAGAAAGACGATAGTGTGTGATATACGCAAAAGTGTTTGAAATAATTGGTGCTTATCGATAAAAAAACTGTAGGGTTTCATGGAATTGTTTTTGTAATTCGTAACTATTTTACTTGCATAAACTGGTGTGCATTAACTATAAAAGTTTCGACGTGCAACTTATCCGTTTCTTTTAGTTATGCATTGAAACATCGTTTATTCAAAAAGAAATTTTCATTGTAAACTGTAATAGAATGACTGCTATAGACTTTTCGTAACTGAGAGTGAAAGTCTGAGACCATTCACACGAACACGATCAATCATCAAGGTAACAACAAATGAACAATATTTAAACTTATTTCCCAAACAATCAATTAGACTTGCTGAAGGTCGTGAGGTCAAAATCACATACATCCGCTTCATACTTGTATATATTTTTTGAACAGTGCACGGATAATGACGGATTGAATCCTTTACAGACTATAGCCTACTGCAAAAACCTGTGCTAATAAGGCTTTTGCTTTGTTTGAATTTTATATTGTTATTCATAAGCTCGCATGATGAGGTCGATCTGCTACTCCCATAATTTTAAAAATTTTCAATAATTCGTTTTCATTCTTTCGATTTAATATGAGGTTTAAATACGTTTAAATACCGTATCGATAATTCTGACTATAATTAATTGAGTAATTAAAATTGAGTAAAGCATTTTGTATTTTTGTTTTCCTAAAATTTTCGATGGTCTCTTGTTATGTATTTTTTGTGTGCTCCTCTGTGAATAAAGAATAAAAGATTGATGAAATAAGTGATACTGAACTAATTTATGGGTATTCTGAATGATTCACTTGCACCATACAAAATGACAAGCCTTGTCGACGGTGCCTTCATTTTTCAGTTATTAATTTAGAGCAGTTATGACGATGCTATTGCAAATTGACTCTGAACATTTCATTTATTTTTGCATTTTAGTCGCTAGTAATTCTGGTCAATAGTATAGGGCTGGGATTCTAGTAATTCTAGTCACTAGAATTCCTTGTCCATATCTAATTTAATCCACTAGTCTTTGTAAGTTCACTTTGAAGACACTCACTTCCGTTTACGCTTCCGTTGCACAAATCGACAGAACAAGTGATGATTAGTTAGGCATATACTCCTTGCTACTCGTCTTCCATTCATATTACTTTTTTATAAAACTACTGTTGACAAAAGATTTTTTTAGGCAAAAGTTGAGACATTCTACATCAGTTCTGGTTCGTCTGAACTCTGGACGAAACAGTTGGTGTCATGAATGCCGAGCGCTAATCAATTTTCTTTTAAATAGAGTCTATGTACATCGCGTTCACGCAAGCGTCGGCAGTGTGAGGAGTGCAGTGGCCGTGACGAAGTGAGAGGAAGACATGGAGCGTGAGTGCGATGAACTGCCTTCCAGTAATCGACTGCTGCATTCCCTGGTGGCAGGTTCTGTGTTGATGAGCTACGCTGCATATACACAAGGAATAAAATTTAGTTGAACGAACCAGGCATCACCAATTTCACTGCTTGTGGTCCAATCTTTATAGAATTTCGAAGAACAATTGTGACGTGTACTGCCAGACGGAATGTTCACACGCTCAAGTTAATTGGTCATTTGATCATAAAATATTTCGCTCATCTTATACGACTCGGTCTCATCAAATTAAATCCTATTGGCTTCGTTAATAACGCATTCTTTCAAAGATCCAAAAGAGCAAACGCTGCTTTTTAATTTTTTCTTTGCGTTGCAGTTATTCTCTTTGTTGTCACTGATCGCACTATTTTATAGTTTCTGTAAGTAAGAGACTCCATGCAGAGCACCACCTGTATAAATGAAGGACTCATTTGCTAAATAATGTATATGCATTTAATAAAAGTGTAATGTATAATTACTCAGTTTATATACGTGACCCTGCAATCAAAAATTTTCACTGAGACATGCGAGGTCATCGCACCAGTTTCATTGCGCACATATTGATGTTCACTAGGCCTTCTGAAAAGCACAAGGTCTACTGCAGCACACGTGCGTTTGAACGCAGGCGCGAGAATAACACTAGAATAATACAAGAGCCAATATAGAATCCGAAATTTTTCTGTTTCAAAAGTTTGACATCCTCTACAAGGTTTGTCGTTTCCTGCGTGTACTTTCTTTTCGATTTAGATAATAGATTGTTCTAAATCTATGCTCTATGCTTTTTTTTTGTAAATTTTTCTTTTAATGTTTCTCCAATACTATGTATATGTTACAAATTTATCAGATAATTCATAGCTGATCATTGTAAGTCGAAAACTCGCATTCGCCCCAAAAGCTTGCCATAATTACCAAGTTACGGAAGAAGGTGATGGGCAACACCTCAGCTGTTGCTTGCTTCAAGAAAAACAACAGGAAAGGCAGGTGAGAACAAATTGAAATGTCTCAGTTCCTTATAGCATTTGCATGCACTCATTTTTAATATACTGGAAAAAAATCATTGTTATTATTGTTAGAAAATTCTCGACTAACTTGAGAGAAAATCCCGTACTACAAAATCGCAAATTGGACAAGCAATAATTCGTAAAATTTATTATTTTGGATCCCATTCCCGTTTTTTAAAAGTAAGGCAACTACTTAGATTAAATTACCGCTAGAAGTGCTAAGTCGATCTGATGATTGTGCCTTGTCGTATCTAAACTACTAAGTTTGTGACTAGCGTACTAGACAGGTACTTGTACAATCGAAAGACTAGGTATACAAGGTTGCTGAAGTCGATGCTGCCGATACGCACGGTCCAGATATTGTGGTTATTGCGCGATGACCGACCGCATTGATGTGCAATAAGTGCAAGACTTGGTCCCGCAAGTCCTTGGAACTCCTGAGCGCTCCTTCAATTGTAGGAAAGGCTGGCAAGTGAAAATTCTAGCAATCGCGCGCAGTGTGATCTCTGAAACGCAGTCGTATGGCGTATATGATTAAAGGTCGTACCCAATAGGATTGATTCTACGAACTGTGAGACGAATTTAAATCGCAATTTGAGTAACATTTCCTGGTAAATATCACACTGTATTTGCACATATTGCGTTTCAGACTTTTCTTTCTTCATGGATAAATATTTATTAAATTCACGTAATATATATTTATTAAATTCACGTAAGTGATGTACAGGAGGAAGAAATACATAATTTTTTGTGGTATGATGATTATTACATAGTACGATGCCTCACATTGAATGAATTCTCTATTCAAACACAATTTGTGCTCTGTTATTAGCACAGTTATTAGCGATTGCGATGCAACGTCACGCTCGCTCCGACCTTCACAAATAGCGAATCAAGATAATTTTACTCGCCATACCAGGTTGTATAGCATGCAGGCAACCGTTTATTCGTTTTTACCAGACCCTTTATTTAGTTTTCGATATTAAAGCAATGAATGAAGGACGTATGCTCAAAAATAAAAACGGATGAAGAGCTCATAGAAATTTATAGCAGTTCATAAAGAAGGCATGCATACCTATTTTTGACAACAGTTTCAGTTAACCACAATACGGGTGGCTCTATCTTGGATCATTCGCTATTGTTGCTCGTTATCGGGGAAGTCTGCATTTAAATATGTTCCAAGTCATTGATATAGATTTTTGACAGAGTTCAGGGGACTGTTGCTTGGGGAGTGGGGACTGACTCGTCAAAAATGTTGCCAGAGGCGTAAGCTGTACCGTCCACACTCGCTGTACAGTGATAAATGTGCACCTAATTAATATGCAACGTGCGGGTCTCTTCGATGCAGAAAATCGATTGATACGTCGCCGTAATCGCTAATATTCGTCCAGAAAAGTTGTTTCCGAACAATATGAGAGAAAGACTCAGAGAAAGGTTAATTAACTTTCGTATTTTGCCCAAGAATACCCATCGTATCGCTGCACGATTTTCTTTTACTGTTAAACTCTTGTCATCCACTTCCACCCGACCTATAGGCTGTATATTACAGCAAAATTACCGTTATAAGGGCACTTGTTCCCACCCATGACCCTCCGCAACCCTCCACAACACCAGTATGCACCAGCCAACCCAGCCTGGCCGGTGAACGGGTGAAGCGAACGTCACAAGCCATCTGTTCCTCGTGGAAGTTGGTGGTGCGTCAGGTGCATTCGTCAGATTCGTGTAGTAGTTTAGCTTGGTTGCTCAGCTAATCCCTTACCAGTGAAATATCTATACAGTGTAACACAGTTTACTTCTAAATGAGAACTAGTCGTTAATTTTACTGTGTATCTAATAGAGTGAAAGAGAGGTTACCGAATTCTTCCGCTATGTTCTCCTTTGGCCGGACAGCTATCATGTAAGTGGATTCGCTTCTACCTAGTATCTGCGAGTACGGGGTCTGTCAACGGCATGATAATCTGCATCTTTACACAATTGAATTTTACTGCCAGCATTATAAATTTAAGCTTATATTATACAGTCATAAAGGTTTCTTTTAGTTATGTAGTACAACATGTATGCTTCCTGCTATGAAGCTGCTATTGATTTTTTGTTCTAGTTGCCTATTAATAGTCATTAAATATGCCGATAAAAGATAAATGGAAATGAAATCAATGGAGTGCACATTGGCAGGAGAAACCTAGTAATCCGAGGTGAAAATGTAAATAAACATTCAAGTCCTCTATAAATTATAGACGATTTGATGTCGCAAGGCCTTCGGCGGCAGATTATTTATTTTTTATTATTAATAAATAATAATAATAATCGGCGTCATGTGACCTATGCTCTGGAAATTGCATATATGCATGCAACATACCTGTATACCTATGCTCTGGAAATTGGAATAAATTACTTTTTGAGTTTCATTCCACAGCAAGAGCAGAGAACGGACGTAGCACGCAAAACTTATTGAATGAGAAACTTAGTAATTTCCTCACTAGCCAAAATTATTCATTTAGATGTTCAATTTCTTCCATCGAATGAAGACCATTGCTGGAATGGAAAATATGTGTATATAAGTTCTATAATACATCCAAACAGAACACGGTCATTGATATTTCCCATCTATTTTTAAATCTCCAAAATTCGCGATACGTTTGCAGGCTTCAGATAACAGGTGTAGTTTCAGTTATGCCACTTTAGCACGATTGTAGTTTGATAAATTTGAAAAACTTCACTCATGATTGCCGATATGGAATTCATAATCTTGTCAATCCTATTTTTGGCCGACAGTGACAGTAGATGGGTTAGTTTCATAGCACGCGATGTCGTATTTTAGCCAGTCCGGCACAAATCCGTGGAAGTTTGGGAGCGAATTCGCCGTAATAAAGCGATCCGGTTCTAAGCAGGACGTATTAACCGAAGGTCGGATCAGAACTAAATATATAGAATAGATATTTAGCAAAGACCTGACGTGTATCCGACAAATGTAATTAGGTGTCAATTCCAACAGACCAGTGTACCGCTATAATTTCCTCACCTTAATGGGACGTGACCGACGTGAACTTGTACGTCATTAACCTTTATATGTAGAGATAGTATATATATGTGCACAGGCACGGCAGTTTAGGCTCATTTGCCCACGCATTTTTGACAGCATGCATTTGCGATTATCTAATATGGAGTCACGTACGTTATTTGCTGCTATGTAACACCAATAAACGTATATAATAAACGAGAATATTGCATTCATGGGACGCATGTTGAACGTGTCCTACTAACGATGAATTAATCTGAATGCACAGCTGACTCTCCTCGGACTCCTGATTATTATGTAAAGCTTGAATGATTGAGTGCATTTGATATTTAGTGAAGTACTTAATTGCTGATTTGTCATTGGTGTCATGGTTTGTCATGGGTGTCATTCAAGGACAATCAATATCATTAAGTCTTTCAATATTAATATTTTTGAAAAACATTGATAAACATAGAAGATAAAATTATTGTAAATTCTTAGTGTTTGGTTGGAAAAATAAAAATGCAGACGACTGATATTCCTTCCATTGCGAGAAAAACCCTGCTAAGGTCATTACTTTCTTGCCCGTAAATAAGTGATTAATAGATTAGAGGTACGCATTAAGATAAACTAATGAGCATGCAGAGAATTTTAGGTTTTGATAGAAACTTTTTTTCCAACTGATATTTTTTCTGATTTTTAATCGGTTTGGGTTATTACCGATGATGTTCTGCAAAAAGTTAATCTTCAGTAATGCATGAAGTAATACTCAAGTATATTATTGAGAACATTATTACTGGTATATTACAACATATATAGTATATAATGGAGAACTTTATTATTGGCATATTATAGTATGTTTAGCATATTATTGAGAAAATTATCATCAGTGCAAAAAGCAATTTCGATTATTAGGTCCAATAAAATATTCTACCATACTTCACGTTCCAGCCATCTAAAAAACAATATGAGAAAAATTAATTTGAAAGTCGTTGAAAGTCGTCCCACAACTTCAGTGCAAACTTGTCATTTCAAGTCAATTGCCATTCATGGGAGGACCTAAAAGACTACGAGAAGCGATCACCGAGCGTTTCACCATTTCATGTTGCAGGCTGTACTGTGAACTAAGATAGGGTGCAAGCAAGAGACTTCTGATGAGCCAAGTCTCGTAACCCATTGATTTCTTAGTCTTATTCTCGTAGCTCAATTGATTCCTTTCACTCTCACTGCAGTACCTATAAAGGTTTTTAGAATTTTAGTTTCGCAAATACTACATAATCTTTGCTAGTTGTAAATTTTGGCGTGTTATTGTCATTCCATGTTATTTTGTCATTCAGCAATATTATGATACTACTTGACATGGAGGGGAATTTTTTACAGTAATTGGTAACGAGTTGCTCTCGTTACCAATTTTGATGTATATTCATAGTTCTTCTCCAATTAGATTATCATATGATGCCGAAATGTCTAACAAGTTTTCAAGATCATCGCTTCTCCGTACGGCTGATAGTTATCTGCATGCTTATCACTGCTATCGATCTAATCTTTAAACGGACTTCGGTATCATGACGCATTGTCAGCCGAATAACGATCGTCTTTAAGTCTATCAAGAAGGCTCTTTGTTTTAATTTGAACTAACGTTTCTCTTTTCAGTGACGAATTGACGAGAATTTATTTATGTAAGCTAGGCCAGTGCTTCAATGAAAGGCGTTGTACAATATTTCTCAATCACAACTCGTCCACTTGTATTTTACAGATTTCGAAATATTTACGAAAAAAGTTAATGCCTTTTATTCGGAACTCTCTCGGCCTTGGGCTCTGTACTATATATATTGACTTGAATTATTTGTGTTATTATTATTATTATCATTTTTTTGTCTTGATCGCGTAAACAAATTTTGAGCGCATGTTCTGTCAAACAGGCTCCTCAACAGCAAGATACATTGACATAATTGACGTAAGTTTCACGCAAAGTCGAAATGAGAGGCTAACATTATATGCTTTATTTTCTAATAGATTTCATTGAAAACCGAAAATATCGCTAATTTTCTTCAGCGTCCCCGTGCTATTCCTAATTTTATTAGTTATAGATAATTTCACAGATAATTGTAAGGTTATTGATACATTTTTTTACTCGCTGACAATTTCCGTGACATGCATATCGTGGAAGTTTGACGCTCAAGCATTACTTTTAAGTGAAATGAATACCGTAGGCTATGACACTCCAGTTGGCAGTTGCTTACACAATTTTGAGGTCGTTGTAGTGAACAATTTCAGGCAACAATTTTCATGGCTTCATTGGAGAAGAGAGTTGAATGCTTTCGATTTTGGAGAGAATCAGAAGCAATAATCAGTTACGAAGATAGGTTCGTAATGACTACTTTAGTCAGGTTTGAGGCAGTGAGCAAGTTGATCGCTGCACCAGCGTGCGCTTGGCAGGTGGCGCTGGCGTCATGCCAATGTTGTCAAAGCTCACGGTTTTCTTCCCATTCAGTTGCTCAGCAATGCACATCAGCACTTGGATTGTCCGACCGCAACTCGATTTCCCGCTTGCTATAACTATATTCGGCACATTTTAAAAATTATTTTCCTTAAACTGCTTAGACGACTTGTTTTTAACATAAATAAATATGTACGAGTTAATTACACAATGTATACAAAGTCTTTGCATAAATGTTAGCATGCATAATCTAATATTGCTTTAATTTATGTGCTAGAGTAAGAAATAACAGGTTATTCTGCCTTTGGTCTTTACTCGCTGATTAATTTGATTAAATACGTATATGCCACGGAACTTATTTTTTCTATATTCATAGTAGACTGCCATCGTAATATTTTTTGTTTCAAATCAACAGATAAATCTCATTTTCGTGTGCGTTCGATATTTACTGAAGGAATTGCTAATATAGAAGGCGCAGTATTCTCGGCTAGTATATTTCCTAAATTTATTTCGTGTGTTAAATATACTACTGACAAAAATTGATTGAAACCTTGGCATTGAATACCTCAAGTTCCTCGCCGGATATATTGACGAAAATTAATTTATTAATTTTATTACTTTAATATTGAAAGAATTGTCACTGCAAGTATTTGAAGTATAACCCCGTCTCGTCCTGTGTTGGATATAACCAATTTTCGTTGTACTTTACGTAAATTGAATAAATTCTAGGTGAACTTGGTGCTGATATTATATATTGATCATATTGTCTCAAAGTTCCTTAGTAGTGATTCAAGAAAATATATTTTTTGTGCGAAAATTTCAATGTCATGATTAATTATCTATCTTTCGTGTCGATGAATAGGATTTTACGTATTGAAAATAACAAAAATGACAATTAACCGTAGGTAGCTTTCTCCTGCAATCTTTGAGCAATTTACCCCTAATAAAGATTCAACTTTGACCTTGAATTGGATACGTCTTCACAACACTCGTCCAATATTGTGCTGTTAGAGTGTTAGTTCTAATTGATATGTGAAGCACACGTGATTGGGACACACGGTGTTCATGTCAAACTGACTTGAGATTACAAAAGCTTTGCCGTGTTCAAATTCAACAGCTCGTGTCGTAAGAGGGGTTACAGCATGTACGTATCAACTGCAAGTTGCAGATTGCAGCTAGTGTTTAAGACGAGTTTAGTTAATAATTTACTCGTGGGTATATAGTGGCAACCCACACTACCACAAATTCAGTGATCAGGATAGCCAACGATCGTATTAAAGTAATTTATTCTTAAAAAATTATCTTTACACTTCATCCATGTAAAAGAAGGTAATTCAGGCTAACTTTCATGACTTGATAAACGAGCAATGATAAATAATCTTTCGTTCAGTGACACACGTGACACTCCAACTTTCATTCTACTCCTTTCTTATCAGCAATCTCTAAAACATTACAATTCTAC